CCGATCGTATAGAAATCCTTAGGCGTTGCATCGGGGCCTTGGCTGGTATGTACATATATAATAGTATGAATACCTGTTTCATTCTACAACTGCTTGAAGTATTCGGTGGTTTAACGAATATGTCACAGAAAAACAACTTATGTACACACTTGTGTTGCTTTCACAGACAGAATAATTTTGATTTTACTGCGCCTAAGATATGTGGCCAGGTTTTGTCACTGATTTAGTATTAGTGGATTCTCGTCTTTACAAGGCACCGCATTTACCACAGCTAGGGTGCGGCTTGTTGCAGGTTTCTTTCTGAATGGTCATAGCGCTGCAAGCAGATTCATATTATTTTGCTTTTCAATTCCATCAAGTGCAAGAGATAACTCTGCCTTGGCAATTCTAAATTCCCGACCTGAAGAGATCTTTACAATCTACGTTTATAAATATTTTGCGCCGAAAAGGACTGTTATATATATCCTTCCCAAGAGCGATCAGTTTTGTGGTATCACACTACCCACAAAATGCCAAACAATATCAAAATATAGTTATGATACATTCCGTTCCACCTCGACTTTATATCGGCTTTAGTTGTCATGCTACTTGTTGATTTGCATATTCAAAATCTTTTTTAGAATAACGTACTAGACCGTCTGTATAAATAAACTATTCTGTGTGTTAGCTTTAGCTAGGGTTCTTTCTCCTACGACTTAACATAACCCAATCATGATATACACTTTGATTCGCTTTTATCTAGTAGAAATTATGTGTAGTTGCTCTTTATGAAAATAATCATTTCATTTCCTAAACAGGTGGTGCTCCACATAGAAAACTTTAATCCTATGATCACGCAGATGATATTTCAAAGTAAACGTGCATAGCAGTGTCTGGCATTCAACAGATTCAAGTGACAATGTTTTCCTGTTTTACGAGCAAATTATAACTTAAAATGTAAATGAAAACTACGCTGTATTGCATTCAGCAGATTAAAACATTTGTTTTTTCTGGTAAACAAAACAGATAATTATTCTTGCCTACTTGAATATAATTAAGATGCAGAAGATAATGTCGGGTATAACATATTTTTAATACTTTTCTATTACAATATCGAAAAGTGTTACATAAGCCTACACATGCATTGTATAAATGTCTTTCTCGTCAAACTTTTAGCTATTTCAGTAATAAGCCATCTTTTCATGAAACAATATTGTACATGAATGGTTTGTTACGGATCAAATCATGCACGTATGCAGGGGGGGGGGGGGTCAGCCGAACCCCCAATTTTTGTGATGTAAAAAAAATTATGCTTATACAGTTATAGCGCAGCTGTTCATGATATTCAACGTTTTCTCCTTAGTCTACATTCTTTTGATGAAGTATTAGCATTTTTTGACTCTGTTGACAATGTAATTGAAATTCCGAAGCCATATTGCTACTGTCAGATTTTGTAGGCCGTATTTCTTACAGTAGATGTGTATGACTTGTTTGCGATAAATTTCAACAATAAACAAAGAGCAACAAAGTACACTTGTTTTAAAATAATATAGTTGAATAAGTCAAACGTATATACAAATGTTTGTTGACTTTTCAATGGATATTCGTGGATTTTATGTGAAAAGACATGCAATTGTGTAAGTTATATTTCATGCAATATTGCTTCAAGCTTTAATCTCATAACACCTGTCTTTTACAAATTTTCTGGGGGCATACCCTCAGACCCTCGTAGCATTAGCATGTTTTTGCATGCTGATTGTACTTCGCAATATGTGTGTTGGTTTTTAAGCTTATAAATTAAAAACCCCACTTTTAAACATTCTGTGTATGGACCTGCAAATACATAATACTTAGGCTTATACTTACATTTACATTATACTTTCTGTGTATTTTATAATTATTTCTATTTCTGGGCGTGTTCTTCTGGATTATTCGATAAAAAGAATAATAAAAAGTCCAGTCAACTTAACAGTAGCAGAAAACGTTAAATTTCTTAAACTTTCATATTTAGGGTAACCAACATTCACCGATAAGCCTAACTTCACAAATAGAACTACGTCTAAAAAGTAATTCCAATTAGTTGCTAATTTCACATTTCTGTTTATTTAATGAAACCAATATCAATATTCACAATACTAGACTAAATAAATGATTAAATGGCCGATAGTACCAGACAAACTGACCAGATCATGCATTTATTGTTCATTAACTAACAAACTCAATTGCACAATCTAGGCTATGCTTTTAATATACGACTCAAGCTATTTCCTAGTATACTGACAAAATTAATACACATCCAGGGTAATAGCAAAGCAAATAAATAACTGTGTAAAACACATTATCAAAATATGTCGGGACATGTTCAGCACTGATGATTAATAAAGTTCTCAAAAAATTAAAGAGGCAATATTTTGTAGATGAGCTGTTCTCTAATGAAATTGACAAAGTAGATTAAATTAAAGTATATTATAAGAGCACCATTTACCCAATGGTTAAAATTAATTAATCAGTCTCATTCAAAATAAACCAATAGCTACAACTAGGAGTTCTGATTACTGGGTGAAATTGTTTTATATAAGAGGGTAAAAAAGGGGCAAAATCGGAAAAAAAAATTTGTTTATGTATTGTCAGATATAAAATATTGTTTATTGTAGGTAGTATTATTAATGTATTTATTTTGTGTTTGCAATCCATTGATGTAGAGGCTATAGAGATTTCTAGAAGGCCTAAGTGATAGACGTATAAATAACTGCGATCAGATGAGTGGAAAGAGAGTGAAAGTAAAATCACGTGAAACAGAAGTTTGGTCAGAGAAAAGTTAGAAAACGTAAATTTAACTGTGGTGGGAGTGAATGGCCTAACGGTTGATATGTTAGAGTGAGATTAACAGTTCGAAAGAGATAATGAGAATATTTTGTCTCGTCAAAGGGTGTTCTAAACTAATTGAACTCGCCTGTGTGGATTTTGACAAAAGTCAAACGATTATTGGAAGTACGAAAAGCATACGATTATTGGAAGTTCGGGATACAACTGTGGTAACTCATGCGACAGCGTAAGTGAATTATACATGGATACTATTGCGATAAAAATAAAGAAAAATTATTTGTCGAAACGTTGTTATGTTAAACTTACATTAAAGTTTTTCTTCATTACCCATTCAAGCCGTCTCCAACCATTATAAGTTCCAGTTTGTCTTCCAGAAATACAAGTTTAGCATAGATTCTTTATTACCATTGGCGACAGGGGGTGATTTTTTGATGTCATACACCTCTTTCTTCAGAGCATCCACCCTCTTCAAGAGAACCATCTGGCCAGCTCATATGCTTATAACAACATGTAAGCTCTGAAAGAAACTGTTTCACCTAGTAGGAACAACAGCTGGAGTTTCATTACATTTTCAATTCCAAATTTAGAACACTCTCACTGTACCGTTGCTCTCATTTGTAGGCATATTTAAACAAGACACCAGATTTGATAACTGCTTTTCTAGCATTTGACATTGCAGATCAGCTACGGGGAGTACTAACAGAAACATTAATTAAATGTGCCATATTTTTAACATGCAGGAGTTTACTGACACCTTCATCAACATGTACGTTATTCACCAGCTTTTGCATGCTCTGTACAGGATCAAATACAATGACAATAACATGAGACCTCTTCTTTTCATATTGCTCTAATGATTTTACAAACGCCAAAGCAATGCTGATCTGGTTGACACAGCAACATTAGAAACATTTACTAATGTAATTTCATGATCATCTTTTACCATGTAGTAATATGACTGTGGGCTTTCCAAGAACGTCTGAGGATTCATCAACAATCAAACATACGTTTTTATAATATATTTGCTCTTTAATTTTCTGCCTCAAGTTGCTGAAAGATTTCAGGCAAGTATCAAAAGATTACAATTCAAGGCAGTAGCGTAAATATAATTGAAATATCAAACGGTCAGCGTTTTTAGTACACACTTAAAATCTTTATTCTAAGACCGATCAATAGCCTTAAAACAGGCACCACATATTATGACGTCGAATCACGTCATCCTCAGGAGTGTGTAAACAAAATCTGTGCAAATCATATATACCATTGGTCATGTGACTACTTAGTTTACATACTGAATTTAAAGAAGTCAAGCTGTCTACATAATTTCTGACTTTACAACCTTACATCCTTTTTTAAGATATGGTAATTATTTTAACGTATTTCATCATTTCTATAATTTCTCTAATACTTTTAGCCGTCACATCATTCGGTTGAGCCAAAATAACATTTTTTTTTATCACTGAACGACATGACCGGTATGACTCGCACGTTCAGCTAATGTAGAATAATTACTTTGTTTTAAAATTTCTTTTCTGTTCAGTTATTCTAAATTTTAAATTTCTTCCAGTTTGACCAACCATATTCGCATTCAATTTTGTATATACCTGTTTTCTCCATTAGATTAATTACGTCTTTAGTTTTATTTAATCTTTGTCTAGTTTTATTCAATGGGATATAAATCGAAATAAGATTTCTGTTCTGTTTTTTAATTTTCAAAAATATGACACAACAAACCTGGGGCATATGGTAGAAATAACATTTTCCTTTTATCTATTTTACCAATTGTTAATTTTAGCTAACTTTTCAATTATCATTTGTAATTTTGTTAGAGCTGTGAGAAAAAACTATTATTTTGGCTTAACCGAAATATTAGAGCAACTACAGAAATAATGAAACATATTAAAAATAATTACCATATCTTAAATAAGGATGAAGGGTTGGAAAGTCAGAAAATATGTAGGTGGGATGATCGTTTTTAAATTCAGTATGTAAACTAACTAGTCACATGACCAATAGCTCTCTGTATATATATATGATTTGCATAGATTTTGTTTACCCATTCCTGAGGATGCCGTGATTCGACGTCAAAATGTGTAGAGTGTCTGTTTTAAAGCCTTTGACTAGGCTTAGAATAAAGTTTTTAAGTGTTTACTAAAAAATGTTGATCGTTTGATTATTTTATTTCACGCTAGTACTTTTCTTGCAGAGTAGCATACTTTGACATTATTTTAGTTACTGGACAACATTTCATCATAAACTCTCCTAAAGGTCCATCAGCCACATGTAAAGTCAAACCAGCTTTAGGAAGTGCTTCAAGAAATGAGTGAATTGCACTCTGATCTTCTTCCTCCTTAACACTCTGTCTGACCTGCATTTCCATTAAAGTTGTCTGAACTATTGTAGAACTCATTAATTTTTCAGCCTCTCGTTTTAGAGAAATGTGACGTGCACTACGAAGATTCTCATTTATCCTGTCATATGGTTTCTATTTTTTTGTCAACTAATATTTGTAATGCACAGTATGCGCATACCACATGTATATTTAGGTCCAGTATCACAAAAAATCTGAAAATCATGATATTCTTTTACCCAATCAAAAGGTACTTAGCGTTTTCTGCCCATCACTGAAGAGTTGTATTTCTCATTGTTAAGAAAATTATTAATCAGAAATAAAATATACTTTGTTAATACCATCTGGCCATCTACCTACTGCACTACTATACTGAACAAATGTCTGCATTTTTTCTTTCCTTTTCTCTCACTCGTTCAAGTATACCTGCGCCTTTTCTCAATCTCCTGCTGTTGTTTCCTTTCCCTCATTTCTCTGTTCCAATCCTGTTTATATTATTTTGTAGCGGAGTTGCAGATATTAACTGGAAAATCGAAACCTAATTTTTTTACTGCTTGCCATTTTACAAAGAAAAAAGATTGACAGTGTCATCTCCACTGGGAACACATAAATAGGAAGATAAATAAAAGTCGTAAAGCTATGTTGCTATAACAACTGTAAAATCAAAATAAGAATCCACATATTTCTAAGAGGCAAGTAAATTTACCTTCATCAGTTCCAGCTCTTTTACGCTAAAATCACACAAAATTGCGCATGCGTATATTTATATACAGTTTTCTGCCTATTCGGGGTGTTTTCGGGTTCAACCCAAATTCATAAAAAAAGCATTCGGGCAAGGTGGGAGAGAGTTAAGTCGGGTAAAAAGGACAACTCCTAGTTTACAACTCGGGAAACGTAACAATCCTCAAGTCCAAAATGGTCAGAGTTGCTGTCTCAATGAATCGGCTTGTTTGAAATAAATCACGTTCAACAAAAGGAGATGTAGCGATATTCAGTAAAGAGTAATCTCCTCGCCACAATAATACAATCCTTGCATATCCTGAACAGTAGGTGGAGGCGATATGGAAAGTCCTTATCCACTCTTCACTCAGTGCAACAACCAAGCTACGTGACTTCGCGTCCAAGTAGATCCCAAATAAGTTTTATAAGATTTTCATCATGGTCTTTTTTCTGACCAAAACATGAAACCTTGTTCAAGATATCTTAGCATTGTGACAATTGGTATTAACTGCACCAAAGCAAAGTCTGATCAGCGGTTACACCCATGAAAGGTTGTACAGCTGGGTCTTGTACCACGTCACTACAAAGAGAAACAACAAATCTTCGTAAGCACAGTAACACTTGAACGACCAATTAGTACGGTGCGTCCCTACACAATAATTAAATCGTCACCAACATGATGTTGTGGTGAGTATAACGTTCATCTTCGAATTCTCAGAAATGAAGCCGTCGTTAGTTACCGGACAACGAAATTCTAAGAATTTATGAGTGAAAACAAAGAAGAATACATAATAATATGTCAACAACACAAAATATATCCTATCAAGTGCCGATGAGGCCTTTCGTCCAAAACCAGGGCTTATCAAACCGGTTGGGATACGACAAACATAGTAGTAGGCACTACTTATATCATCAGTTGCACGAACAACACTGTAATGGAGTGAACTAGATTAAGTAAATGAAGTGCAATTTATTATCGATTATATTTAAGTCATTTATAAACCAAGATTGTAAGGATCAAACATTATATATTTATTTTTAACAGCGATTATTTCACATTGTTATTTTTATTTAAATTAATTTTGCTATCACACAGAAGAACAGACGAACCGGCAAGCTAATCTTTGACTCTGTGAAAAACAACTTTGCACATTGGTGTAACAGAGAACTCTCGTGATCTCAACAAATCTCTTAACGGTTCTGTGTTCAGTTGAAGGGTTTCTTGACCATCGGCAGGACCCATAGAGTTTCTTGCTGTTTGGTAATTGAATAATCAATCTATTCATTGTCCTGGAGTCCTTACTGGATCTTTGGGCAATAATTGACTGGCGAACCCTAGCGGTGCAAAGAGCACTCGTTTCTCGGTATAAGTAATTCTCACAACCGTTTCCAGACTGTTTAGTTTACAGACCAGATGTCTGATGTCGTGTCTACAAACTTTTCGTTTATGGATCTAGATACACTAAAGCAAGTTATATGTTTTCTCGGCATTTTGGTGCATTCCAACATTTCAACAATTCTGAAAGTCTGTAATTCAGTCAAAGAATTCCCTTGCCAAAATTACGTAATATTATCACATTATATACAAAACTAAAATTGAAACGATCAAGATAATAGCAAGTGATAACATCTGGAGACGAAATAACGATACCGTCTTTCCATGGTAGGTTGCATGTGATAAACGTGCCGACAAAAGTTGTGCATTCTCACAACAGAACGCACGAAACGTGCTCATTATTAATGACGTATCAAGTTCTGAAATAGCTTTCAAGGGTATTTTTTCTGACCGTGATAAATGTTTGCCCTTGTACTATGACGAAATAGTTAGGGAAGTAGAAGGGCATACTACATAACAATATTAACAGCATTAAAACAGTGTACGAACAACAATCAGGTGTACCGTACTACAGATTATTTATACACGAAAAGAAAACTGTTTATACCAGTAATCGGAAGAGTATTGACACACATACAACCCACAAGGTTAATAATACCAGAAAGGAAAATTAGGCGACAACAATTGCTAATATACTGATATGTAGTATAAATGGCTATAACTTGTATTATATATTATTTTAATCTTATTATACTCATGTATTATACTCATTAGCACTTAAAGAAACTATCGATTTTATCTGACGAAGCACTAAAGCTGCATAATATATGCTTTATTTAATTTTAACTTGACTTTTAACGTGATTAAAACATTAACTGTGAGATCAGAAATTATGCTATAAGATCAACTTTTGTAATATTGAATATGTGATCTGACTTCCCTTGTGGTGTCATACAGTTTTTTTTTGGTTTTTGCGTTAATATTAATTTTGAAGTATCGAATTTGTGATCTGACTTCCTTTGCAGAATTATACACTTTTTTAGTATATTATTTTATATATTATTTAGTATATTATTATAAGTGATCTGACTTCCCTTGTAGTGTTATATAATGCTTTTCAATAATACTAATCTTGCAGTGTTGCATTTGTTGTCCCGACTCTTTTATATCGTGTTTTATGAAGCACTTTATTTATGTGCTTCTAAGGTTGTGTTGTTGTATGTATGGACGTTTTCTTCAAATGCCAAGGACGTAATAAAATTCGGCATGTGGATGGATTTATTCTTAAAAAATAATCTAATAAATGAGACAATTCAGAATATGTTAGACTGTAATGATAATATATTTTATTATGATAGTTCATTTTGTTTAAAAAAACAAAAACCAAAATAAACTATCCTAAAGCTTGTTTATGAAAACTGCCTTCTTGACTTCTTGCTAAAATAAAACTGGACAAAGAATATGGGCGTTCTGTTAAAGGCAAGCAATAGGAAGATTCTGACTGAAGCTTCTCGGCAGTTACACATAAATCTTGTCTTAAACCAAGAACACTACAGTATTTTTCACTATATGTAATGATTGTGTGTATATTCCAATGGTTCCTTTTAAGACAAACCGATTAATAATATGGTAAAAACTATATAACACCAAAAGGGGAAGTCAGATCACGTATTCGATACTATAAGATTAATAATATAGTAAAAAAGTGTATAATTCTACAAGGGAAGACAGATCACAAATTCGGTACTTCAAAATTAATATTAACGCAAAAAACAAAACAAAAAACTGTATGACATTACAAGGAAAGTCAGATCACATATTCCTTGCTACAAGAATATTAAAAAACTTTACACTTCATGAAAACTAAGGACATAAATTTAACATTGAAGGTTAACAGTAGGGAGAAAAATGTAAAGCAGCTTTAAACAGAACCCTCCGTCAATTCTTGGGCTTCTCTTGTTTGATGTAATAGTTCAATTTAACCGTCACTCTGATAACACACCCACGTTTATGCTGCAACGGGTCGCAAGCCATGAACCCTAAAGTTCAGAGTCGGGTACACTAACCACTATATAGCGTATAATTTCTACTCTGAGCGATTTTTACTCCTCAGTCATGATTATGCATGTAATGTTTCCTTCCCCAGTGGTTATTATGTGTATAATTTGCACTATCTCTGTATTGTTTCGACTATAGTGTATAATTTATACAGGTGCTAAGATTTGATTGCGCATATTCCGGGTAAGTGGAAATAATATAATACATCAATCCAACATGTTTTGCTACTGTATGTATGCTAATAAATATGCATGATTTCATCTCGACCAACCACTTATTTAACGTAAAAGTGCTTGATTTCTCAGCAAATATTGCAAGATAAAGCATGGATTATGCTTAGAAAATGATACACAAGCAAATAGTCTTGAAAATGTTCTTTTTATTATTTCTTTACTTGTTTTATTTTTGCATATATACACCTGGAAAAAAGTTAAGCACCCCCGTGTTTTTTTCAAGTGATTCAGATTCGACGTTCTTGTGACTGATT